ACAGCCAAGACAAGTTACTTTGTACAGACCAAAGGACACCTTTATGTTATTTGATACGGTAACATGAGTGCTTGTCAGCCTCGTAGTTGTAACTTCTGTATTGTTAGCCAGGCATGGGTGAAAGGTCAGTATAATAAAAAATAATAAATATATATAAATGTATAGTCTTATGAGATTTAAGCTATTTCATCTAAACATTTATGTTTTCACGTTATAATTTGTGTTCATTCTAAAATGAAAGAGGCATGACAATAAAACAGATGTTTAAGTATTTTTTTAAAATTTCTTTTGAAACAAAGGAATTTAAACATAGATAACGTAAAACTTTGATTATAACATACATTATAATGTTAACTTCATTGACATAAATGGATAGTATAATTGTTTAATTGAATTTTGAATGTAACTCAGTAACATAAGCAGAAAGGATTTTAGAAAGTGTAATCGTGCTTATAGGGTTAAGTTAAATTGCAGAACAAAACATATTTTCATTTGACAAATGAAGGATATGATTACAAAGAGAACTCTTGGACACAAAAACCCATAGCAGCATTATCAAGATAATAAACATGTTGACAAATGCTTACAAGAAAGATGACTGAAGAAATTGGAATCTTAACATTTCTATTTGACCACATACCTGTCAAGTCTCCTGGTGTGGTTCCAGTTGCAGTTGATTCCTTTACTATGCTCATATATAGCCTTGGAAGCCAGCATCCATATACTATGGCAGTTTGTTAAGATGTGTGGTCTGAATTTGAACCTTGCTGTCCTTTGCAAAAAACTTGTTAGAATAGAAACTATGGTGTCAAGCAATGAAGGAAGTAGTTCCAAGGAAAGCTAAATACCTGGAATATTTTTTTCTAAACTGTGATTATTTATTTATTTTATAATTTTTATGCAAAACTAAGAAAGGGTTCTCTGCAAAAGCTATTTCTCAAAATGTTTGGTCTGACCAGGACTAGATAAACATTGTTATAGCACAGCCTAAAAGTGTGTGACATGTTTTCCAGCAACCATTAACCTTCAGTTTCACAATCTTAGCATTCTAACCACTAGGACAAGTATGATTATCTTTGAACACTAATTATCTACTGTACAGTTTGCCTGTTTTTTCTGTATACCAAAAGTAGAAATGGGCTTGCATACTTGTACGAAAACAAAGAAGAGAGATAATTAAATTTATCATGTGTCGAAAATCACCAAGAATAGAAATATATCACAATGTAATCCTAGTCCTACAAATCTGTTATTCAGTTCACAGATCAAATTAACAAGCTTTAATGTATGACACAACAATAAAAACTTGTTGGTACAGGTTATCATTTAAAAGCTAGTTATCCTTCCCATACTGTCAATCTAAACATTGTCTAGTGTACTTCAGCATATACTTTTCTATTTGTTGAAAACACTAATTGTGAAACAGATATATTGCCACACTAGTTCTCAGAGTTTGAGAAACACATTTTGTTATATTAAAACTATTTTGAATATGCAAACCAGCAAGTCATTTAGCAACCATAGCTGGTTTAAAGTCAAGATGGATTGACATATATTACAACTACATTTTCATATTGTTTGGCATTTCATAAGTAGTGTAATGCTACTGAAAATTTTTTTCACTTTTGGAGAAAGATATGTAACAGTCTTTCCAATGCAAGATATTCCTGCACTCAGCCCACAAAGATGTGTTCTAAGCTAGGATTTAAATTTTCCTAACTGGGAGATATCTCATTAGGTATTGGAAAACAAAGGAGCATGGATTAACTTTGGACACTTAAACCATGTGAAAGACCTGCAACAAGTAACACAACCATGGTAACTGAAATGCAGTGTCCTGTTATGCCTGTAATGATCCATTTTAGTTGCAACAAGATAATGTACCGATTGTGGAAAAAGTTAAAACATGATATAAAAATCAAACTTTTACATACATGATAAAGGTACAGCATGCCATTGTGGTATATTACAGTACACAGGTTTCATGCAGTCAGTTAGGGCCTGCTTATTGGATGTTCAATAAATATCACATCACTGAATATGGGTCTATGTCCTTCTTTGAATTCTGACTGAGTTTGCCAACAAAGAAAGAAGCAGTACACAGAATGTATAGAACAACAATCTTTATTTAACAAAAACATGATCAAAAACAGTTACAACACATAGTTACAGAACAGAGAAGGAGGTTGTTGTAAGTATGTTGAAATGATAAGAGATTATGGAGAAATCTTTAATTCTTGTGCTACAGCCAGGTGAAAGTACACATGTCACGACCTTTTACAGTGTTACATTCAAAATTTATATAGATCACTTTATTATCAATTTATGTCAATAATCTTAGCATTAAAATGTAGCTTAAGTTTTTATATGTGAGTTTTAACTCACTAATTTCAAAAAGAAACATTAAAGAAATATTCAACATCTTCATTTTTCTGTTCGACATTATGTGTCAGAGCTCTGACTTCTCCTTTTCAAAATTTTGTAACATGAAATATAGGCATAAGCAAATGAGGGACTTTTTGTAGGGGGGAGCTGTATCATTTTTACCCGAATGAGGTTATGAGTAAGAAACTTCTGATACCAGTTTTTCCTGAATGAAAGAGGTAAAAAGTGCCCAAATCACCATATTTTCTGCTTCTAATTTTATCCAAACAAAAGCTGCAAATTTGCCTCAATGGCCATATGTATTGCAAGCTAGGGGGCTACTGCCCCCCTCCCCCCCCCATCAGGTTCAAGAGCAGATTGGACCACTACGCAATTTACCAACAGAAAGGACAGCCTTCTACCTTGGAATGTCTCAAACTATTTTTCCTGCAAGAGAATGTGGTTAATGGCCAACTTTAGAACCAAATCCTGGGTACAGCTATAATAAGGAAAAGTTAGGTTGATTACATGAGCGACTATTTCTAAAACTGTACATGTTAACTAAAGGGATAGGAAATGCATGGTTCTGTCCTGTACCACACTATCATAGATATATAGTTATGAATGATTATAATAGAACTTGAATAATCATGACACATGTTTTTAATTATATTATTTGTTTCACTTTAATATAACTTCAAGTAGAATGTTATCACTATATTTATAAGCTAAGGCATAAGGATTTTATCAAAATCATACCAGTTATAGTTGAGATAGTACAATAATAGAAGACAAGTGGCTTAGGTTAATTGTTTCTAATATGAAACTATGTTATTGTCCAGTTTTGCCATTATAAACAGTATTGCAAAGAATATTTTAGGTTAAACTACACAAAATTTTCTATTTAAAAATTTCTTTTTCTCAGGAATCTGATGCAGATAAAGAGGATGCTGTAAACTTGCTTCATAAATGGTTTATAGAGATAGAAGGAACTTCGTTACCTGACAGAACTGTAGCCTGTAGATATGCTGCTGTCCATGTATTGCTAAAAATAGCATCATTACTAAGGGATGAACGACATATTCTAGGTTTGTGACTAAATAGAGTAGTGATAAGTGTGACTCATCACACAGAAATGCTATTGCCCTTGTGCATCTGTGCCTATGAAATTTGCATGCCACTAGCCTTGAGCTAACTCCCTCCCATATTGATGTGTTTAACGTGAACTGCACTGGTGCATGATGCTGTCATCATGTGACAGTAGTTCTCCACCAATAGGAGGGCAAAACAACCTCTATGCATAGTAACTGCCCCTATGAACTTGCACTCTTGATAATTTCATTCTTTTCCTTGGCATTACATTGAACATATGTGTCAAAATTTTTCATCTAAGTTTAATTTGATGAGATTTACATTTGTCAACAAAACTTTGGTTTTTGTTTTACACTAGCTTTCATTCCAAAAGCATTGACTATTATCTTGAATTTTCAAATTATGATAACTTCTACTTAGTCCTATGTGAGTGATGATGCTATACACATAGACCCTATTTCTACTATGACTTCTGTAAACATTGCAGCCTTTGTTCAGCATGAAGTGGATTACAACTTGCCTACTAGGCCTCCTATTCCTGTCCCATCAACCAACATTCTTTCTCCTCAGTCATGAATGGCCTATTGGCCTCTTTCACTGAATTTATATACTCCTCTACCTAGACTGGTCTTTTCTTCCTCAGCCAACTGCTGTTCAGGAGGGCAACTGTACTTTCTTTACTATCTTTTTTCCATTTCTTACCTCTCTTATTGTTCAGCTTTGGATCAACTCTTGAGTCCTGTTTGGACTTTTCGTTGTTACTTATCACAGACACCTCCTTTTTGGGGTCCCCACCATCTAAGTTTAATTTTTGCACTTGGCTCCTCCACTACTTCAAAGTGGGATTCTAGCATTTTTGTGAGTGGAGGTAAGTTATTGTCTTGAAAGTTAGCATTTTCATAATCTGAAAATGTATTTCCAATAGATACTTCCACACATATTTCCACCTATCCTCTCCACTTCTGGTGCACCATTTTTCTCTTGCCTTGTCTACTAATGAAGTTATCACAAATGGATAGGGGGAGTTACTGCACATGCATCAGTGCAGTTCATGTTAAACACGAATTTAGACGGAAGTTATCTCAAGGCTAGCGGCATGCAAATCTTATAGGCAGACACATGGGGGAAATATCTACTGGAAATACATTTACAGATTAGGAAAATGGAAACTCTCATGTTAACAAGAAAACCTGTTTTTAAAATACTCTAGATATGAACTAGTATTCACAGCAGTAGTTTCAAATGTTTAAATCTGCTACATTTGTAAAGTATATCATAATGATTTATGACAGGTACATGGAACATAACATATGGAAAAATGTTCAATATAGTAATAATGTTAGGTAATATAAATTGTCAGTAATTGCATGAAGCTTTAGAAATTGTTTTCACCATCTGCTAATATTACCTTATGTAAAATATTAAATCTTATGCAACTTAGGGCCAAGCACAACCTAGTAGTTAACATGCAAGGCTGTGGATCTGAGGATCCATGACTTGTGTCCTGTTACCATAAAATAGAAAATAGTGCTGCACACTTTTAGGCTGTGGATGTTTTATATGAATGGTGGTCAAATCCCATTTTTCAGTTGTGACAAGAGTAGCAGAAGAGTTGATGGTGAACTGCCCTCTCTCTAGTTTATCACTTCAATATTAGAGATGGTTTGCTGATAGCTTTTGTTTAGCTTGGTATGAAATTCAAAAAACAAATAATGTAACTTCTGCAACTTTTGTTGTAATGGTGTATATTATTAATATACATCTCTTATGTTTAATAGTACAAATCACCAGTAAATTATGAAGTTTTAAAATTTCTTTACGATTTCTTCTAAATAGCTCATTAAATGCTTATGTTAAAAATAAAAAAGCCTTGATGATATATGGTTAAACAATTCATAAATTGATTGGAAACTTACTATTTATCTATTTATCATTCTATAAAAGTTGTATTGCATAAAATTTTTTGTTGTTTGTGCAATACTAACAAAGTTAAATGAGGTTTTTAATAAATGTGAAATTTTTTATATAAGGTTTCAGAATGATTCCATTGTGGATTGCCGTGGTCAATCTTCTACAAGATGATGAACCTGTGATCAAGTACATGTGTGGAACTGTGATCTCAGTCATTGAAAACAATTCAGAAGGTAGAAAAATGATTTTTGTAGTTGAATAGATCATTTGAGCTTTTATGAATTTGACCTATACTTTCAGAGTTGTTTATTACTGTAAAATGGCATATTTATTAGAATGTCAACTGATTTGTTGAATATTTATTTGGTGAGAAACAAGGAAAACTCCCTAAATTTGATATCCTTCCATATTTTTTGATAATGAGTTGTGTTATAAAATTGTTTTGTAATAAGACTTTAGTGCAATGTATTGTTTCTATAGATATCTTAGTATTTATAAAAAAGGTGGAGTATTTTTTCATATTTCTGAAGACATTTAAGAAAAATTCTAACTGTAATTTCACATTTAGGATTACAATATTTGGTAGGTATCTAATATTAAATTTTATTTTTACCTAACACTGTTTTACATAGTTATTCATAGACAAACTTCAGAAATTCTTCTAGACTTGGATAAATGTATATGGATTTAGTGGGTCTGTCATAGTACTATAGTTACCTATTACAAATACATGTGTGTGTGTGTGTAAAATTAGATTAAACATATTATTTTAGCTATCTGATTATTGAGTTTGATCTGGATTGTAAATACATCTGCCATCTGTTTCTCCAGTTTTGAAATTATATATTAGAAATTATTTTGCACTACTCCTGAATTTGTTGTAACAAAAGATATTTGTGACCAATAATTTATATAAATGAGTACTTGTTACACACAACAAGTCTCTGGTGTCTGGATGCCTCTGTTAATACTCAGTTATTTTAAACTGTATTTAATCGTAAAAGAATATTCTAGAAAAATATTTTAAACAGTTTCAATCATATTAAATTTTGTGATCCTTTCTCACCAGTTGATAACCGTGATGACTGCTGTTATCATATCAGTTTCAGATGCATATGGATTAAAGAATTACGTAGTCTGAAATATTTATATTGAAGGGAGTTGAGTGATGTCATGAAGGCCACCTAGTCTTCCAAGAAATGTTCAGCATATTTTTCCATGTACAATGTGGCTGGCAATGTTGTACTGGAAATGGAACACATTTACAACAGTGCATGGAAAAATATATTAAACATTTCCTGGAAGACCAGATGACCTTCATGATGTCACTCAACTTCCTTTACATATCATTCAATTGATTACACCACCATTCCCAGTTTGCCCCTGAAGGAGAAAGGTCCACATTTTGAAAGTGCTTGGGTTATAGAATTTTTATCATTTTGTGTCAAGACTTATTGAACCTACATGTTTTTCTGACATCATGAATATTTATTTATATGAAAATTGAATTCAGAGGACCCTAACTAAGTTTTACAATGTAGTGTCATAATTTAAAGGCACGGTGAATAGAAATTGCTCAGAGTAAAAAATGCACATTTGTCTAGATGAATAATGGAATTGAAAATGTGAAATCTTTTTATAACTGTTGACTGAAAAACAAAAAAATTTACGTAGTTTTCTAATTATCAACTTTTTTTTACTGGAAATAGCATTAATTTTTTTATGCTACTATACTAGAACAGTTGTGCTTTAAGTGATTTTTGTATTATTATGACTTTATAGCTGCATTTTTGTGTTTAACATGTAAATCTTCTTTTGTTCTCCATCAAAAACTTCAATTTAATTTTCTTTCTTTAATGATAATTTTAATTATTCTCTGAGCTCAATGTTTTAAATATTTGAAATTGTTGAAGTATTTTTATCACCCTACATTTTATTTGTAGCTACTAAAAATGAAGTGCAAGTGTCCTACATGTAATTGATATAGGATGAATTCATGTGTATAGTGTAGAGATATCATTTAATTCATGTTATTCATATCGATATATATATTTGCAATGTACACAGACATATATATACTATAAGACACAAGTGTAACTTATATATATATATATATGATAACTATTTTATTCAGTATTAATAATAGTATTTTTAACCTAGCCAGCATCTTACGTCAACACGTGGGCTAAATAGCCAGGTAAGGGTCCCCTAGGGTTTGGGAATAATCATGTATAATTTAGAACTACCGACCAGAGGGAGGACTAAATCACATTAATATTTTTAATTTTTCTTGGTTGAAAAATGGCTATTGGAATGTTGAGTGCTCCTGTCTCTCAGCTTTATCTTTGTCCAAGAGATAATTGTGTTAATGGTCTATTGTTCCACATAAGAAGATGAAAGAAAATTAACAAACTGAATTACTGTTGATTATTATGTAAGTTTCAGTTTTTAACACATTTGAAATAAAATTAACATACTTATATATGATATCATTAGAAACCTTGAAAAAAGAAAGAGTTGAATACATTTTCTAAATTGCTTTATGGAACCTGTATTGTTTCACACTTTAACATGTGTCAGTTTTTGTTTTGTTTTTCAGAATGTGATATTAGAAACAAGCCTGTCGTTCCTCAGTTAGCTTTGAAGATAGCTGTTACACAGTTTATCCAACTATTAGGTTCTACTTTTCCAGCTCATTGTATGTCTGTTCTTCTTCAATGGTGCTTGCATTGTAACTTGGATGAAAATGGCTATCAGGTATACTTTTTTCTCATAAACTACTTATACGCAAATTCAGTAAAACCTCTTCCCCCTCTCCAGCAAGGAGAAGAAACATGATATGTTTTCAGTTACATCAGTTATTCCAATCGCTTAACATTTTCAGTAAATGAATGTCCCTATTTTTTTAAATAATTCTCTTTAAAAGCATAAGTCATTAAATGAGCTTGTGTATGTATATATATATATATATATATATATATATATAACTAATACGTAGTTGTTAGTTAGTAGTATAACTAACTAATTATAGAGTAGTCGTTTAGTTAAGTAAGAAAAGTAAAACGTAAGTTTAAATTTTAAAGTT